CGTTAAGATCGCTTGAATTTCCATCAGCTAAAACTACTTCCAAATCTTTGCAATGAGCCAGTAGCTCATTTCTGGGCATGTCTTTTAGACCAAAAATATTATACAAAAAACTGAAATAATTACTGTGAGTATTTAGCTAATTATATCTGGTTTCCAAGGCATTTATTGCTCGATCTATAGTGTGAAAAAAAAATTATTTTATATTTTTGTTTGAGGTCTTGAACGGGTTCATCCGGGCCCTCATGCAAAAACGTTCTTGTTTTGCTTCTGACACGATGACGTAGTGTGAGTGTGGTGGTTTCGAAATTAGCTTCCAGGTCAATTTCTGAAGAAAGTTCGGTTGCTTCTAAAATGATGCTTTCAAAAGTTTAATCTGATCTCAGGTTTTCAAAGAAGAGTTTGCAGTTACTAAGCATATCAATAGCTCGTGACCTATCAAAATTTACAGTTTGCAAAAGTTTTCTGATGGGGTTAATATGACTCAAAATTTTATACCAGATCACAACAGAGCATATAAATTTGAACTGCTTCAAATTATTTAATAATCCGCTAGCCTCGTCTCTGATCATATTATCGATTTCTGAATCTTCATATATGCTGTACAAAGCATCGTGAATTGAACCAATTTGAAACCGCAGAGCTTTTAATGAGTTGACTCGACTTTCCCATCGCGTATCACTCAATGGTCTTAGGGTGTAAGCATCAATATATTTCCGTAATATTGCCCAACGAAAAGAGGAAGAAAAAAATGTATATAACTTTTGAACAATATTGAAGAAGTTGGCTGCCTCAAACGATGATTTTGCCATATCGTTTACAATCAAATTTAGCGAATGGCTGCTGCATGGAACATAAAATGCTCTGGGGTTTATATTTCTGATTCTTGTTTGTACTCCCGATTTTTCTCCTCTCATATTCGAACCATTGTCATACCCTTGACCGCGCATGTTTTCTACTTTAAGCCTATTTTTAGAGTGTACTCCCTACATTTTATTTTTATATTTGTAATATATAACTACCCAATTTTTTTTAATACGAAGGACAAACAAAATGAAAAATACTCTGCCAATTTATGGGCATCTAAGCTCACACGATTAACACCAAATCCCCCCTTTCATTGTAGGTACCTCCAGTGGCAAAAAAGAAAAAAATTATACCACACAAGACATTTTTTGATGTAAACTCTAATTTTTGAAATCCACCCCCCACCCTTTTTTTGGCTTATGTCTGATGGATTTATTCGTTTTTAAAAATGAAAAGAAAAAAAATTAAAACACTTTCCTTCACAGAAGCCAAACGCACTGGACAATTTGCACAAGCACTTTTTTAAAGCTTTTTTGCACTAACAATTTAAACAAACTATTTTATTTCACACCAGCCGAAGTCTAGTGGCAAATAATGCATTGATTTAAGTCTACTTCCTTTTTATATGCAGTTAAAAAGGGCTGTTAGATCTTGTTTCGCTTGGTTTCAAAATTGTTGTTTCCAGGGGCCGAAAAACTTGTCAATTCTTGAAAGGCGGTGATTGAGTGGTTTTGTCATGTTGAATTGGATTCAACTAGATTTTGCCTTAATGTTTAAATATATTATATTATTTGAATTATGTGTTTAGAAATAAAAATGATAAATTCCGCCTGCCGCCTCTCAATCTTGTCAACTATCATTTTGGCGCCCCTAGATCATTGCGCTCCGGGCGGCCGCCCGGATCGCCCTACCCTGGGGCCGGCCCTGATCATATATGATAAATTTGTTTCGAGCTCTGCTTGGTCAAAGCTGCTGCAACTTTTGATTTAGAAATAGAATTTCTATACGTTTTAATCTCCAAACTGATCATCCCCAGGGTACTGTTGACAGCTGCACTCTTTTTAACAGTTACTTGATATACTCAATGAATATGCCGTGAATTGAGTATATCATGACTTGATATACTCAATTCACGGCATCCGTTTGCTCTCTGTAGGTGGATTTGGTTATCATGAAGAAATCCCTAAAAAATTAGCCAAAATAAATGCTTGGAAACTTTTGCATATCTGGTCACTGCTTTTATCTCTAAGTAAAGTTAGAAGAATCATGTTAATTACTTGTCGGAGAAACAAAGCGACTCCTGATTCTCACTGGTTGACTGTGGGGATGCGTCCAATCTAAAATTATCAGCACATACCAAAAATATACTGATCACATTTTTTTGCTTACTATTGTGAACCTCGTATCTCTGAAATAAATAATAATTGTAAAATAAGATTCTTAGACTTTATACTGACTTCGCAAAACTACACCTATTTTTTCAATGTTGCTGCTTACTGGCATTGAATCTCCGAGTGTTGTCTTAGAGGAAAATGACATTTCACTTCAAAAATCTTATCCATATTTATTTTTGGTCTGTTTACCAACATGTCCCTTGATACCAGAAAATAAAAACTTGCAATCCTCCGGAGTTTGAAGAAAGGGGGTTGAGTCTGTGATACCAATATTAAAAACAGGTAAATACAATAAATCCTTTTAAGCTAAATCTGAGACTGGGTTTCAATAAAGAGCTTTCAATATCAGATACTCTCACTGCTGTTCTACCATTTCTTGAAATGGAAACAATGAATATTCGTTATTCCGAATCCCACTGGTTCAAAGTTTTTACTGATGAGTCCTTCTAACATAATCAATCCATTGCTGTTCCGGAAGTTTTTACAAACTTTTCACATTCGACATCCTTGTATGTCCTACTGGCTTACTTAATGTTGCTTTGTTTCAGAACAGTGTTGCCTTAGAACATTTTTTTTGTTTTCTTATATTTACAAATATCTTTTCTGCCTCAAGAGGGATTATATGTCCCTAAAAGTCTTTAGGTTGCCCTTCCAATGGTAATGTCTTAGTATATCTAAAATACTCTATCCATAAATTGCATCATTTGAGTAAAAATGTTCCTTCAAGTTAAGTCCCAGCCACTGTGAGAGTAATGAATATGAGATGGCAAATGAATTACCCAAAAAAGAAACCAGCAAACAACAAAGCAGCATTTAGGTTTTCTCAATGATTAAAATTTTAATATTGCATATTAAGGGTGATGTGTCTACGGAATACAATATATATGTTGCATAACACACTGTGTACGCTATTAGGTAATAAATATCCGGATTCCCAGTGGTACGAACTCGGAGCCTCATGTGTGGCATATAGTACACAGTTAAAAGATTACATCATTTAACACCCTGGTGTTCAGAGATCTTCACACCGATTTTCCTAACTTATATAGAAAGAATAAAATTAACCATTTGAAGACCTTTCCTCAAGATATAGGTTTCTCTCCCAAAATAATTGACAATACTGTAAAAAGAAATCCTAACATGCTTATGATTCCAAATATGAATAAGGAAAACCCGAAGCAAAAAATTTGATTGTGCTCACGTTTTTCTTTTTTTTTTTACTTCGAAAATTAGCTACTGGATTTCAAAAATTTTTTAAAAACAAAAATTCTAGTTTAGTTTTTTACCAAACAAATCTTTTTCTCAACTCATAAACGATTTGACTGCGTTGTTATTGAATGTAGAAATTTGCATGCCATACTGTCATACATTGGACAAATTAAACGCGCACTCAATCATCGGCTCAAAGCTGCCACAACCTTTACGTTAAATTTTTTTAATAAAAATTTTACCACTTTAGATTTTAATTGTTTTAAATGAATTTTAATATTATTACAAAAAATTGCTCTCGTAATTTTATATTTTGTAGTAATTAAGTATATATTTCCTTTTTGTAGCTAGAAATAAAGGTTTAAAATTAACTAAGAAATATAATTTTTGCTCATTGAATTAATGCTGAAAATACCAAGCCTAAACACAAATATTTATAACATGAATAATATTTTTTTAAACGTACGCTTTACGCTTCTGTATTCATTTTCAAATATTTCATATTAATGCTGAAAATTATATATAATTAGTTTTGTCTTTTACATATTTAAAAAGCAATATTACAACAGGTTTGAAAAAGAATTAAACTGTAACATGAACTCTGGTAGAAAACTCTAAATTCCGCATTTACTCTAAATCTCATACTCTTTTTAATGCATGCATGTTTTTATTAATTAATAAATCTCCTCAATTGGGAACTATCTGACAAAGGAGCTCGAAATAGTTTCGCCGTCAAAACCTCAAACTGAAACTTACTTTATTTTTCTTTTCAAATCACAATTAACGCAGTAGAGGTAAAGATATTATCCTTTATTTAAAATAATTTATTCTTGAATATTGGATCATCCTTTAGAGTGGAATGTGACAGCTCATAAAGCAACTACATTTTTAATAGCGGTCACTTAAGAAAATCTATACTGCGTGAGGCTTTTCACTTGAAGAAACCAAATTTAAATATTTTTTTACTTTACTTTTGTCATTAAATTAGATTAAAACGTATTGTTTTCAGCTCTGATCAAAGTACGCTACGTTGATCAAAGCAAAACCCAAAGAATATAAGCTATAGTAAACCTTAATAGGGCTAAAAAAAAGCTTTTCAAACGACATTGTGTGAAATAGGAAGAAAAAACTAACCTCAACTTTTTTTCTTCGCCCTTAAGGTTATTGTTTCTTGTTCAAGGGATCCTATCTCCGTTAACATCATAGAATAAAAATTATTAAAATTTTATGATTTTAATTTATATTAAAACAAAACCATTTCAGTATCAACATTTAGTTTGGAATATGCTTCAACTTCAGGACATTTGTAAGAGATTTTAAGAATGTTATATATTCAAGTAAGTAGGGTTGCATTGCAATAACATCGAATTGAAATACTCAAGCTATGTGAAACTACGCATTACCGATTAAACGTCAGAGTTGCAGAACGTACACTTAGTCAATTTTTAAAAATCTTGACAAAGAGGAAATAAAATAAATCAGAAAACTGCATGCTAATGCAATTTAAGTTTTTTTTGCAGAAATTTTCATGTAAAAATCTCATTATTAGTGAAATGTCAGCACTTCAAAAGAGTATTTTTTTATTGTACTTAATATCTTTACAAATAAATATTAATGAAAAAGCTTTATTACATATTAGTACTTTTACAAATATTTAACTATTTAGTTTTTGTGAACTAAATAGTTGAAATCGAATACATTGTATCATATTACTTGCATACAATAAACAATGAATATTGACAATAATATTATCACTTCATTGCCCCATTTTTTTTACTGCAAATCAGCAAAAAAAGATTACATATCTGGAGAATAACCCTGTGCTACAAAGACTACGTTGTTAAGACTGTCAGTATTGGGGGCTGGTTAACACAGCCTTGCTTCTCCGCTGACAAGAGAACAGAGTCGGAGAGACACGTTAAGACTGTCAGTGTTTGGTCCAAACACATTACAGCCTGTGTGTTAAGACTGTCAGTGTTTGGACTAAACACCGATTCTGAAACGCGTTAAGACTGTCAGTGTTTGGTCCAAACACGAAACAGTCGTTGTGTTAAGACTGTCAGTGTTTGGACTAAACGCAGAGTACCTAACGCGTTAAGACTGTCAGTGTTTGGACCAAACTCTGTGAATATGTCTTGTTAAGACTGTCAGTGTTTGGCCCAAACAAGGTCAGTAAGTCTTAGCGCACTATCTGAAACCATTTTCCTGCACAGCAAGAAGAAAGGCTTAGGTTATCCCCAGATAGTTCTGCGTGAACCATCTCCCATGTCTGAGAGAGGTGATGGAAACTTCAGACGATGAGAGCATGTCCAATACCACAAGAAATCTTCACACACTTGCAGTTCCATTTTTATCCATGAATTCCTGAGTAAAAGAAAATTTATTATAGATACTCTAAGAAATAACATCTAAATTTGATTAGAAAGATCATTTCAAATATGTTGCAGAATAACTTGCTTTCAATGTATCAAGAAGTCAACCCTAACTGCAGTGGTTACAGAACAAGTACAGGTAAACATCAGAAAATGCTACAGCAACACAGGTCATTGCAGAGTTTAGCAAAGGCGGCGCCAGTAGGGGGTCAGGGGGGAGAATTGCACCCCTGTCGGGCATGGCCAGCCCCCCCCCCCATCGAGAAAATTTTAAAGTCTCATCGGGAAAATAGTCTGGTCACATTTTTTTCTAAATAATGTCAAAAATTCATTTACAACTGCCAAATAATAAATTTTGCAGTTGACTTTTTATTTACTTATTTTTAAGAATTAGTAACGAAAATTAGTAAAATATATTGTAAATTCTATGTAATTGTAGTTTCACTGCACTACTCATAACTTTGCCCATACATTGTTAAACTTAATAAATGTCTAATGCGATTAGACATGGTTGAAATTGAAGACTTTTCGAAGACTCATAGAAATCCTTTCCCACAGACACATCTTCATTTTCTTGGAAACTTATCTTTCAAACTGCTATTCTTTCTTCTGGAGAGCTGAGGAGGGGTTAATCGCTGGGGGAATAGCTGACAGTAGCCTAAGGGCAGACAGAAAGAGACACAGGTCCTCTTCTTTACAAATTCTCTTTTATGTATGTGATGTGTTTATCAGTAGTTTATGGGATCACATAATTGCTTTGTGAAATTTTCAAGCAAAATGAAAGTATAAGAATAAAATTAAAAAAATTCAGTTTTAATTTTTTTTAATACAGTCGAACTCGTTTATAACGAGCTCGGATTTACCGAGGGAAATGAGAATTTTGGTTGGATCAATGTTAAGTCTATGGAACAGAAGTCGCTTTTAACGAGCAAGACCCGGTTTTAGCGAGCAATATTTTTCTGTCTTGCAATCTTTTTTCTCATCTTTCTAGTCTTTCTGTCTTATCTTTTTTTCAAAATGATAAAGAAATGCGAGGGAAGGGGGTTAGTTGTCATTAAATTAAGAAATGTATTTAATTAAATTAATTAATATAATTAAAGTAAGTAAGTATTAATTAAATTTTAAGTAAACTCAATCATTTGACCTCCCAAGCCCCCCCCTCTTCTGGTTGCACGCCTGTCTTAAGGACCCGTTTATTACGAGCACTCGGATTTAACGAGTACATGTTACGGTCCCTTTGCGCTCGTTATAAACGAGTTCGACTGTACTTTTAAATGAGGAAAATAATTTACTTATTCGGATTAAAGGTTTATATTTTAATCAACGCAATAAATATGCATCGGAAAAAAAGAAAAACGAACAGTAACAAAATATTTTTAATTTTTTTAGGCAGATTCAATTTATTATTTTTTTTTTTATCATTTTAAAAAGATTGTTGATTGATTCAGAAAAACAATTAAACTGTTCGTATTCAATATCTTAAAATATATATTAATCAACATAATAGATTCTCATTGACTTATTTTATGTATAGTGTATGAAATGGAAAAAGGGAACACCTTGATTAACTTTTGATTTAATCGTATATTCACGTACAAAGAGTATATACCATATTTTTTGTTACGAAAATGAACACTAAAGTGACTGTGAAGCCAATAGCATGGATGTTTCTCTCAGTTGTATGAACATGGTGCGCCCTATAACCGAATATTTATGGCTCTGTGACTTAGGTTCACAAGTAACCAACAAGTAGAGTAAAACAAGCAGCACTTACAGCATCTTTCAAGGCAAAGAATGAGTGTTCAGTGCCTGCCGTTAAAAAACATTTCCTTTTTTAAGCAAAATGCAATATTTCTGTCTAATTAAAAAACAAAATTAATTTCGACATTTTTTCAAAGAACTTTAATATGAACTTCAATTTGTGCAATTATTCAGTAAATCTGAAACAAAAATTAAGTTAAATTTCAGATACTTCAAATTTTTTTTTTAAATAAAACTTGTTACATGAAAGAAAAATAGTTTATTAAATAAATTTATAATTTTTTAAAACTACATTATATATTATACTAAGATGCGTTGATAAGAGCAATCAAAATTCTTTATTAAATGATACCTTTTTATTTCTATCACTTATAAACTTGAATGTTTAGAAATAAAAATACTTATTAAGTTTATTATCTCAATAGAAATTCTCTGGCATTAAGAAATAATAAAAATGGCGATAGATCCAAACAAAATTTATCAAAAATCAAACAAAGAGGGGGTCAAAACAAATTAAATTATACCAAAATTTAAATGTATAAATTTTTTATTTATTTTTAAATGAAAGAGAAAATTAGAATGATTATTAGTATCATATTACAACATTGTGGTTCTTTGATGCAGATGTTTGATGAATTCAATGAAAAGCCTTGATTGTTCAATTATGTATATTAACAAATAGATTAAATGATAGAGAATTTATATTCAATGTAAGGCCCCGCTTTTAGTAAAGAGGGATCCGCAAATCCAGAAGCATTGTTCATTAAATTTTTCACTTTATTTCTTAATATCAAATTGAAGATAAAATGAAAAAACATTTGTTTACTCTTCCTCTTATCTATGGATAAATTACATTTATTACAACAATTGTTTTTCAATTATGTTTATTCTGTGAATATTTTTTTATATTTTCTTCATTGCCCTAAGTGTGGATAAAGAAATGAAATGCATCACTACCTAGCTTTTTAACTGTTTAAATGCTATTCACTCTATTCAAAAGCTTTGACTGTTCCTCATGTTCGAATTTTCATGGTTCAGGGATGCTACTCGCAAAATATCAAATTGTCTCACCAGAAATTGCATTTCGTCTCAGTTAAAATCTCTTTTTGGCTCAGTTTGTCTCAGCTAAAATTATTTTTTCACTCAGTTTATCTCAGCTAAAATGATTATTAATCAGTTTGATAACAATATAAAGATAATTTTCAGGATCCATAAAACCATTAATAGCATACTAGGAGTACTACAATTATACATACATTCACTATTGCTAGGATTTTAAAAAACCTGCATATGATTGATTATAAGAGTCCACAAAATTGTTTTATGGACTCTGCTGTTTTCATATATATTGCATTTATCATTTATGCCAATGAATAGTATCTGTTCCAGAATTTTACAAAGTAAATTTTAACTTTCTTATTTTTTAAAATATAATGGTGTTAACTTTCTTAAAAGAAATATCTATTTAGTTTCAGTAATTCAAAAGGGAAAATACCCATTCTATTTTGAGCTCAAATTTCATCTCAAAATATATAACTATTCAGTTACAATGGAAGGTCTACAGATTTCAATAATTAATACAGAAATTCAGTAATTAAATAATGAGAGTTTAAGAAAATGCAAATAACACAAAAAAAAACACTCTTTGATAGAATTCAGGAGGTGCAGTGAAATTTTGAACTATTTTAGGTAGGAATTTTTCAAGAAAATTTTAGGAAGCACTTAATAGCCAAAAATAAGCATATATACATTTTTATATCAAAACAGAAATATATAAAAACTATTATAAACAATTTAAAAAGACACATATAAATATAATTTTCTTTCTAAAATGACTTGCATCCTTTATTAAGTATAAAAGTAAACTTTTTAGTTTATTGGCATTGACTAGTAGATTGTACTTTCTTGCATTCACAAGATTAGTTAGTTGACTATGTTCTTTTAATTTGTATAGCTAAATATACAATCATAAAATGTGATTATGAATGCACTTAGTAATTGTTTAAATGCAACAACTGTAGAAAAATATATCACATCTTTACAGTAACTAATTCAAGAAAAAACTTAATTCTACTTCTTTCTAGAATCGTGAAACTGGATTTTAAAATTGCGTGAATATGAATTGCGATTTTGGGTTTTAAAATCGCGTGAATATGAATCGCGATATTGAATTACAAAATCGTGTGAATATGAATC